ATCATCATCATCATCATCATCATCACCATCATCATCTTTCTTCCTCCTCTACCTATTCTTCTCCTTTTCCATGTCCTGACATTGGACACAAACCCTTTGTCTAATCAACTCCCCCTTTGTCCAACTTTTTTTTTAACCTATCCTTCAAAGGCAATAATAAGCCTTACTTAACGCACCTCTTTTTTTTTTTTTTTACTTCCTACTAAGTGGCTGGCTTCCCACCCCTCCCACCAGCCACTCACAGATCGCGTCGCTTTCTCTGCGCGGTGGCAAACCCGGCATCAGTTCCTTGGGTTCTTCTCCTCAGGCAGTTCATCCGAGTTTGCGACGAACGCTGGGATTTTCCCGGTTCAGGTTTTTCCCTTCTGCTTGTTTGGTCGCCTCTCTGTTTTCCTTCTCTGCTTCCGTCTATCCGACTTTGCTTTCGTCTTTCCCAAGCTGCATCCTGCTCCATTGCTGGAGACCAGACCATCGAAAAACACAAGGACGACTATCTCGTGTTTGATTGTTGATCAACCTTCTGAAACGCATTTGTTTACCTCGGCTTAGACTAGAAAACCACAACAAATCAACAAAAGATATCGAAAAGAATGCCTCTATCGAATCGGCGCCGCGCGCGGCGCAAGGAACTCCAACTGCAGGAAACTTCTGACGCCGAGGCTCCAGACTCCTCGCCATCTCGGCCTTCGAATAAGAAGCGCAAGGTCAGTGGGCTGACTTTGACTTTCTGCGATCGGGGTGAGTTTGGTTTGCTGAATCGCTCCAATAGGTCGATCATCGTCCTTCCCCTTCTGCCCGTCCCGCCAAAGCGCAAGAATCCGCCGATGAGGCCGACGACTCGTCCCCCGAAAATGAACTGTCGGCCAACCAGGACCTGGTGGACATGGTCATCTCCTGTCTGAACGTCGCCCGGGAAGAAGTGCGCGTTGCACGGGACCACTCGAACAAAAAGACCGAGAACACGCAGAGTATCCGCGCATATGCGAAAATCGCCGGCCGCAACTGGACCTACTACGTCAAAACACTGCATGTCAATATTGGACGCGAACCGGATCGCGAACCGAAGCTAGATGAGCAGTCGAGTCCCGTTACGATCGCTGCAAGGGCCCTCCCGGACGTCCATGTCGATCTGGGTCCGAGCAAGTTCGTCTCTCGCTTGCACGCGGAGATTTTCTATGACGGCGGGGAGACCCCTTCCTGGCACATCCGCGTCAATGGACGCAATGGGGTTCGGCTGAACAACGTCATTCTGAAGCGTGGGACCGATGCGATTATTTCCTGCGGCGACATCATCGAGATCGCCAACACCCAGATGATGTTCGTCACTCCCGGAGACAAAGCCAACATTCATCCCAGTTTTGTGGCGCGCGCGCATCGCATCGCCAATGGTGAGGAAGAATTGCTGTCGTGGGATCCAACCCAGCACTCGCACCCCCAGCCATCGCAGTCGAGCGCCGTGATGAACGATCAGACCTCTGCGACCGCTTCAGCCGCCGCCAGCGGCCAGCCATCACTTGCCCCCGCCCCGCAGTTCCTAAAACGCCAGGTGACTCCCCCGCCGCGCTCCCCAGACACCGTCGGCCCGCGCACCGCCAAACAGTCGCCGCTCTATAACCGCGGGATGATGATGGAAAGCACCGAGGAGATTGACTACAGCAAGGACTCCGCTAAGGATCTGAAACCGCCATATAGCTACGCCACTTTGATCGCGCAGGCGATCTTCTCCAGCGAGGAGGAGAAGCTCACTCTGAACAGCATCTACAATTGGATTATGGACAAATACGCGTTTTACCGGCATTCTCAGAGTGGATGGCAGGTAGGTCATCTTCATTTTCTTTTCAAATCCCGTGACGCTGCCCGCAACTGACAAACTTCAGAACTCAATTCGTCACAATCTATCGCTGAACAAGGCGTTCCAAAAAGTCCCTCGGCGTACAGACGAGCCAGGAAAGGGAATGAAATGGCAGATTGCCGCGGAGTACCGCGAAGAGTACTGGAAGAAGCAGCTCCGAAAGGGGACGACTCAATCGTCTGCTCCGTCGTCGCCTGCCACGAAAGAGCCTGTGTCGCGGAGTGCCAACCGCTCCGAAAACGTCTTCAACGGCAAGAAATCGCCGGCAGTGTCCTCACCAGGATTCAGCTCGTTCCCCGTGGCACCCGTGGAGGCCTACACGCCGGAACGGGGCTCGCGGGCCGCTCGCGGGGCCGACCATCCTCTGCGCAACACCAGTGCTCGGGATTACGAGGAGCCTTCCCCGTTGCCTACACGTTCTGCCACCAGGAATCACGGGGGCCACAGCGCATTGACTCGTACGTATGGTCTCTCTGACAATGTGGTGAATTCGCCGCCGGTTCTCTCGTCCTCGTACTACGATGACGGTCCGTCGTCGATGATTACTCCGGCCCCGCAGCGGCAGCAGCCTCGGCTTCCGCCTCCTAGCACAGCCCAGATCCCGTCCAAGTTCATGCCGATGAGCTCACCCGCGCAGTTCTGGAAATTCGCGGACATTGGCAGCACACCAGCGCGACCGGTGCCCGACATGAGTCCGCTCAAGGGTGAAGTCGGAGATGGGATCGGCAATTTCCCAAGCAGTAGTCCTCCGCCGCCGAATCTGGTCAGTCCCAGTAAGCCGGGGACATCGAACGGTCTCGGACACGGCCGGACGCTTCCACCACTGCGAACCGACCCAGGAGATCTCGGGGAAGCAAGACCGGGAGTCAACGGACTGGTCAAGTCGGAGCGACCGATGGCGCCGGCGGGGCCGGATGCGGATGACGATGACGAAGAAGGAGGATTTGATCTCGCCAGGTTTGTTTCCCCTGCTTTAATTGATGAATGGCCGATACTGATGGTCTATACAGAGGCTTCCAGCCGATTGGATCGTATCATCGGCAACTGAGCAATGCCGCTCGCGCGAGTGCAGCGACCTCTTGATCGCTCGCTAATGGATGACTATGTATTCTATGTACACCTACACCGATTGTGTTCGACTAAGAATTTGCTGGTTCAAAAAGTTTGACATGTTGCAAACTGATACATTGCTGTGTGTTTTTTTACTTTCTGCTTTGCTTTCTTCGAGTCGGGCTCTGGCAGCACATCCGGCCGTCCGGAGTCTTTCTTTATATGTCCACGGGATAGAAGCCTGGTTTGCGCAGAGGGATGAATGATGCATTTACAACAGGAACAAAAGGGACTGGCGTTGGGTTGCTTGCTTGCTTTATCATGTACGGAGTACTGGAGGGGCCCCTGGACGATGCGATGATAGGACGAGATGTAATGATATTCGCTTTTTATCCTTTCTCCCTACAGACCAAACTCAGTCCACCTTGACAGCCGGCCAGAATCTCTCCTCCAACCACACCACCTGCCGCCACCACTGCACACAGCGACCCATGAGAGCCTCACGCTCCTCGGCCCCCTTGATCTGCCCAGCCAACTCATCCAGCACATCCCCGATGCGCCGCACAAACGCTTCAAACTCGGGACTAGTCCAGTTGGGGATGAACCGCGTACGCAGCGCACCCCCATCCGCATCCTGCTCCGGGCCGGCTCTCCTCTTCCCAGCAGCCCCGAAAGAAGCCGCATACCGCCACGCCTGCAGATAACACACCTCGGTCGCCCACAGCACGACCAAGCCCTCGAGCAGACTCGTCGCGGCACTCCCCGCCGACATAAACATATCGATATACGCCTGGGTGATCCGGTTCGGCCCAAAGTACGTCTCCTCGACTCTGTCCCCGGCACGCACACACTCCCCCGTCTCCCGCTCCTCGTCCTCCATCGCCGCAGGCAACGCCGTCAGATCCAGCCCGAACTCATCCGCCGTGTCCTCGAAGAACTGCAGCTCCGTGCGGATGTTCACCAGCGCGTCGATGAGGACCTCCACGGCGCGGTGCTCGGCCGTCGCGGTGCGCGGCTTCGAGCTGTCGGGGTTGTGGGGCGGGAGGCGGATCTTGGACAGCAGCAGGCCGATGAAGCGGATGTAGGACTGGACGTAGAGGCGGTCCTGGGAGAGCCATTGCGAGAGGAGCGGCTTGGAGATCTGGCCGCAGCCGGCTTGTTGGAGGAAGGGGTGGGTTGTTGCGTTGGAGAGCGGGCAGGTGGAGATGTTGAGGAGGTGGATTGTTAGCGGGGTGGTCATTTTTGTTTGTTGGCTTTTCTGGTCGCTGGAGTGAGGGTGATGTTGGATGTAGACTATCTAGGCTCGTGGTGAGGTTGATGAAATGTTTGTCCTTATTGCGTGGGGCAGAAGAGGGGCAAAGGTCTGTTGGGCTGAAGCTTATCATTATCATTATCATTATCAGTTTGACGTCAGTCGGCAACTATACTAGTAAACTAGTCAGGAACAATGCATATTCTTATACTGCAACGACATCTATAAGATCATTGGACATAACGATCGCTTGTGGACATGTCCAGCCTAGGTAGAAGAACAGTATCTATGGACGACGGCCTGCTATGGACGAATACACAGGATTGGCCCGTCTAACCAGTCTCCAGACCTTTCCGCCTCCTCCTTGGGCAGCCTGCGAGCATGGAGCTTTCCCCTATATACCTGAATAAGCGCATATTTCTAGACAAGAGTGCAAGAGATAAAATCTATCGACTGTGCTCAGTTTATGAGATGGTGTCTAGAGGAAGGTGCTCGCCTTAGTTAAGTAAGGCTGATCAATCGAGGGATTGACGAGTTGTACGCGTCATGTTATGACATGGTCTAGACGCCATCTGGCCGTTTATTGAGATGGGTTCATACGAGTGTGCCTTTTGCCAAATCATCCAATGTTCATGAATGCGCCGATGATCAACGATGTCTGGAGCAACAAAATTAATTCACAGTCAAGATACCATTGACAGCATTGGCAGCCTCGCTGAGCCCTGTCTGTTTGCAGAGGCTCTCGTGATCGGATACAAGGGACTATAGGGACTGCTGATACAAGGTAACTTAATTCATAAAACGCATATAGAGCAAGGTGACCTTGGTTTGCCCAACCGCAACATCCTATTCCACCGTCGGAGCAACCACACTAAACCCGCCTGTATCACGGCAGATCATTCGCACCAGCGCTTCAAGCGTATAGCGAGCATCGTTCCCTGCATTGTGCAGGTTCCATCCGATGATTCCTAGTTCACCAAGGATGCCTGCCAATGAGCGCGGGTTTATCTCACTTCGGATAATACGATACAACTCGGCAGTGTCGATGCGCTCCAGGAAGGCGGTCGTGACGTCTTCAAAGACCGGGATGCCCAAACTTGCCAGATAGTTGACGTCCATTGAGGTGTTATGACCCACAAGGATCAGGTTGCGCTTCTGGTGCTTGTACTCAGGCCCACTGCCCAGCCGGACACCGTCTGTGTCTTCGATACCGAATGAGTAGGGAGGTTGGAAGCAGGCCTGAACCACATCCGCCAGCTTCCCTTTGGACACCCATTCGCTCTCCCCAAATTCAAAACTTCCCGGACATCCTGCCACGTATTGTCGGTTGACAATATGGCCATACTCTCGAACTCGCAGGTGACGGGAACGAATTCTCGAGGTCCACTTCTCTGCATTCTCACCTGGGGGAATGCCAACAAGATCCACGGTGTCCAGAGTTGAGATTCCCACTTCTGTGACCTGTTCATGACAACGCTCATTGCATTCGACGTCAACGCTGATCAAAATCGGCTCTTTCCAGAATGGAAACATCGCTGGATAATCCATATCGAGACGAGGGATCCCAGTGCTATCTGTGTCGTCAAGTCTTTGCGCCGTGCTGCAGTCGTCGTTTCGCTTCTCTTCCCAGGATCGTTCGTCAATAAGTTCTGGGAGATCCAGGGAGTGGTGGGATCGTAGACCAAGGTAACAATGCATTTTCTTCCGAGTTTGTAACAATTCTATTTCAGCCTGGAGCCGGAACTGCTGTTTCTTCGCCTTGGAGCCTTTGCTCCTACTCTTGTTTTTCGATGCATTTATTCCGTACTCAATCATTTGCTCATACGCGAGACGCACCTCATCCATCTCTGTAGGAGGCTCGTAGTTCGTCCGCGGAGGGATGGTCGCTTCCAGTTCATCTTTTATCTCCCGGCTTGTACACTGACCGATGAACGTCGGCTGAGGGAACCCGTCCTGTTTGAAGTCCAAGAGCATTCCCATTTTACTTTCTTCCGGAATTGATAGCGTACTTTCGAGCTCGCGGTTGATCTCCTGTATGAATTTCCGGACCTGAGCAGCAGGCACGAGCAACAGTGGACGTGGACTGAGCAGAGGAGGGACGTGGACGTAGTGTCTGCAATATTTCTGTCATCAATAGAGAGCAACACAGAGTGGTAATGCCAGATAACTCACATATCCCAAACTCTCTGCCAAAACTTCCCACCGTCGAAAAATCGACTGGCTACCGTCTGTGACAGTTCCTTGGGGACGAACTTGTAGGGATATCTAGACATAGCGATAAGGGGACAGAAGAATCCATCCAGTGGTGTTGATGGCTCCTCTTGATCGTGGGTGTTGGAATCTTTAATTTCTGGTGTCTGCGTGCATTCGTTGCACTTGTCGGTTTCTTGGACGGTGCTCTTGTCAAGCCCTTCGGCGGTTTCCTCTGGATTAGTTTTGGATTCCGAGTCTTTGTCGTCCTTTCCGGCCTGTATTTCTTCTTGTGTCACTACCGTCAAGGAAGCTTCTTCTGCGGTCTTGGTGTCAGTTATAGATAAAGCATTGAGACGGGTGTTGAACTGAAGCAAGGACTCATCCTCGCTGAAGAGCAGCTTTAGGCGTTCTGTTCTGTCCATCTCGTAGCTTTGAATAGGATGACTTCCACAATTGAAAGGACAAGTGAGATGAAAGAAGTAGTGTTGATAGCTCAGAGGTGAGTAAAGGATGAGTGAATGTAAGGGTCAAGTTGGGAAGATAGAAGGAGTGTTTGTCTACCAGGACAAGCAAACGAGTTCATATCAGTGACCTCGTACGAACCAACACATTGATACTTACTACCTTGCTTGGATATCAGTGAATAATGAAGTGAATATCGGTCAGCTATCGTCTCAATGGTCTCATTAGGAAATCATCTTCATCTTCTCGCGATTGTCGTAGCCAAGATGCCCTCAACTATCTCCTCACCATTGGCTTCACTGGCTTCACTTTCATTCTTCTAGTGTTTTATCCGAGCCCCCGACCTCCATAATGGTTCAATCCTATTGACAGTTTATTCAGCTAAAGTGGATCACTTGGTTTGAAAAATTGAAATGGTGGAATCTCTCGTGTTCATTAACCATCATGGTCGAGACATATAATCTCGACAAACATTAGTTGTCACCGAAGCCAACACCTCCATCTATCAAGCAACATCAATGTCACTGGTCAAGAGCATATCATGCACTGCCAATCAACGAAAGCAAAACAGAAGCAAATCAAGTGAAGTTATTCCCATTACCCTTGTTGATATGGGTTGACCTGTTTGTCGGCAATCAGCGACGGCGAGACGCAGGATGTAAATATAGCACGCGGAACAATGTTTCCCCGACAACCGATCAACAACATTGCGAGACCGCGGCTGATCAATCATGGTCGTGGCCACCAACGCCGCATCAATCTCTAGTCCTTGTGCCCGTCGCGCGTCTTTTCTCACTGGATATCGTCGATCGCAAGCCGCTTTGGGTCCAATTTGAAGCTACCATTCCATGCATTTGCCTTGATCGCTACCTTCATGGCTGCACGGATGGTGCCTCCCACCTAGCCCCCTACCATACCTCTTGTTCTGTCTAGGTTGCATTTGACGCTATCGCCTCCTCGAATCTCCGTTATTTCTCTAGCTTGATACGGAAGCCATGGTTATGGCAGACTATAATGATGAAGACGGTGGCGTCATTCTCGATGGTCCCTTTGATCCCGATGCGCAGGCCACCGTGACCGACTTTATAGATTACACTGAATATCTCCCCGCGGACCTGATCCGTTCCCTCACCCTCATACGTGGCTTGGACGAGCGCTACCTCGAGGCTACACAGAATGTTCACGAACTCACCAAGACGTGGGGCCAGCTCCCCGACCTTCCCTCCCACGAGCGCCCAGACGCGCAGACTCTCCGCAAAAACATCTCGGCGCAACTTGACCAAGCAATCAACGCGCGCGAGTCTGCCTATGCCGAAGCGTGCCGCCTCTACGATGTTGTCGATCGACACTTCAACCGACTGGAGTGCATCAAACAGAAGCTCCAGGCACTGCCGAAACCGGAGTCACGGGAACCTACACCTCCGGAGACTCAGACTGCGCCTAATAAGCGAGGCCGATCTTCAAAGAAGGGCGAGGCCGCTGCGCCGACGACAACGCGCATAAAATTACGGCTTGACGGTGCGGCAAATGCGGGGCCAAGGCTAGGACAGAGGTCGAGGAGTCGGCGAGGAGAGATTGCTGCCGAACAACTCGCCGGCCTGCATCCGGACTCCCCACTTGCTAGCACCGAGCACTCGGATGTGGAGACTGGAACGAAACCAACTCCCACAGTTGCGCCTGAGGAGCCCGCAGTCGCCAAGGGCAAAAAGGAGAAACAGACTCGTCGATCACGGACCGCCGCTCCACTTACGAACGGTCATGGCCATGGCGCTGCGATGTCGACCAGCAATGCTCTGGCAATGCTCAAACCCCCACCAGAGGATGCCAAACCTGGCAGTGAAGATTTGCCGTGGTTGCGCTTGACTGAATGGGAAATGACAAAACTGCGCAAGAAAATGAAGAAGAACGCCGTCTGGCAACCTAGTGAGGTCATGATTCACCGCGAACTCGCTCTCCGAGGGCGAGGGTGGGACGCCTATCGGCAAGCCAAAGCGGAAGCAGAGGCCAATGGCACAGAGTTTCTTGACTGCGACGACATCATGAACAATTATGTCCCGGGAATGTTGACGCGGCTCACCGACGCGAACGGCATTGAGGGCGTGATGGAGACCAAGTTGAGCAACCGTGGGATGAAACTCAACGAGGCGAAGAAACTCAAGCGGGAAAACATGGCGAGGGAACAGGCGGCAGCCGCAGCCGCCGCCGCAGCGGCGGAGGCCAAACGACTTGCCGAGTCTGGACCTACTGACGCAGCAGCTCCTGACCAATCTCAGGCGGCGTCATCCTTGGCCGCTCGGAAGCCAAGCAGAACCTTGAAGAAGAGGAAGATGGACGAAATCGTAGCTGCGGAAGTCGCACCCGCTCCCCCAGCGGACTCTGAAACTCGCGGTTCTCTGCGCAGCTCAGCAAAGCGCCGTATAATGAGCAAGGAAGCACCAGAAGAGACGCCTGTAGAGGACAATGAAGTCGCAGTCGGCGAGACGGCTGATAATGCAGTGAAAACCATAAACAATGGGGAGCCTGTCGAGACTCAAAAGGCGTCACCCGTACCATCAGCGGCCAGCACAGCAGCAGCAGCTCAAACCAAGGAAGCGAAAACCTCGACCCCGCCCGTCAGCCGACCTCCTTCCCGGCACCTTGCGCCTGGTGCATCGACGGATGTAGCCGCTCTTGCGGCCGGCAAAGATCTCCGTCGAAAGAGTGCCACGCCTGCAAGGAAGACTCCTGTACCGGACGGATTTCAGGCAGCCGGCCGCCGCAGGAAGCGACCCGCTCCCGGGCCGGTATCCTCGGGACAGGACGGCGGGGCAGCGGTCAGCTATGGCCGACGCAAGGCGAAACCTACCAAGAAGAGGGTCGGACCACGCGAACAGGGACAGAAGGATGGCACGACGAGGGAGGACATTCGCATAGATGAAGATGGCGTCTTGGAGGAGATTGACCCGAATGAACCCCGGTATTGTCTCTGCGGAGATGTCAGCTTCGGAACCATGATCTGCTGCGAGAACCAGGATGTAAGTGGATGCTTGTGTCTCACATTCTCCAAACTCGTACTAATGATTCGATAGTGCGACAGAGAATGGTTTCATCTCGAGTGTGTCGGTCTGTCTGAAGTGCCCAGCCGCACTGCCAAATGGTATTGCCCCGACTGTCGAGTGAAGTTCCACAAGGGCACCGATGGGATTGTCAGGCAGAGCTCTCGCCGGTGAAAGAGTCGATTCCTTGTGGTGCTTGAAAGCATATGTGGTGAATTTTCTCACTTGGCGTTCTGTTCATGATACCACAACCTTTCGCGCTATGTGTGTTTCTGGTATAATTGCGGACTTCCTTGATAGCATGGCGATGGTGCAGTGGTGTTCCGGAGTTGGATTCTCGTCTTTTGTTCAGAGGTTAGATTGTACGAAGTTTTATGCGTCTGAGAGATTTAAGGGACTTGAAAGGATCCTCACATGGCGGGTTGTCAGTATACTATGTACTATGCAAATTCAAGTTCTCAGATATCTACATTATCCTAACTACAGCTAGTTCTTTTAGACAGACCGAATGACTACTTCAACTCCCACTTCTCGCCGTCGTGAACGATCTCCACGGTTCGGTTCTCGTCCAGCGAGATCCGGCCCGCATGCAGGATCGCCGTGGTGGCAATGGTATTCTTGAGGGTGGGCAAGGGGCGCGCATCAAGCTGGTCCAGCGTCACGCGGCCTTCATTGAGGGCCGTGACGGCGTCGATGAACTTTTCGAAACTGATGTAGCCGTAGCCCGTCTGGCCACCGAAGTTGCCCTCTTCGTCGGGGGCGTAGCGCATGTAGAACCTAGCCCCATCGATCAATAAATGCCTTTCTGGACAGAGACCAAGCGCGCGACAGAGACTTACGGGTTGATCCAGGCCAATTGGCCCTGGTTGTCGTCGGTGACGTCGTAGCCGCGCTTGGCTTGGTTGATGCGGATTTCGCCCTTGGAGCCCATGTCTGCCAGCGGTCAGATTGTAAGGTTCGCAAGAAGCTGGATGGAAGAACTTACAGTGGAAGTATTGGTTGGAATGGACACCGGCCTTCTGGGGGGCGGTCCAGCTGGCCGTGTAAACACCTGTGGCGACCTTGGAGGGGTCCTGCTTGTTCTGCCAGTTCACCAGCAGGGTGATGGTGTCCTCTGTCTCCGGGGAGCAGCCCAGCGCGACGGCGGTGCCCTTGGCCGCGGACGCAGTGACCTTGACGGGAGTATAGTCGGGGACCATGCTCTCGTTGACGTCGATGTGGTGGGAGTTGAGGTAGTAGGAGATGTCGCTCTCCTTGCCGGCCCAGGCCTTGAAGGTCTCGAGCTGGCTCTTGGGCTGGCTCATGTAGGAGTAGAAATAGTTGAAGTCGCCCAGGTTCTTGGCCTTGGCGCGGGCGTCCGAGTAGGCAGGATCAAAGCGCTTGTGGTGCTCGATGTAGACAAAGACGCCGTGCTTGCGGGACTCCTCGAGGAGGGTGAGGTGGTCCTGCAGCAGCTTTGTGGCGGGCTTGGTGATCATGACGTGAATCTTGCGCTGGATGGCGTACAGGGCGATGGGGAAATGCGTTGGGTCTGGAGTGAAGATGGTGATGGCGGAGCCGGGCTCCAGGGCGTCAATTGCTGCCTTGTAGGCGTCGGGGTCGGTCTGGTCGTCTGGGGGGAAGGAATCGAAGGAAACGTCCAGGCCATTGTAGACCTCAGAGATGTTCTTGCGAAGATGCTCGCCTGGCCGGTCAGTTAAGCCTCGGTGTCTGGATACGGGTCGCCTCACGAATGCCAGGGAACTTGCGTCCGGAAACTCCCACCATGCTCAGCTTGCCAACCTTGCCTCGTCGTCGGAGGTCAAAGAGGGTCAAACCGACGACTCCAACCTTTTTATCCGAACCAGAAGCAGCACCACCCACGAAACCCGTGGTGTACTCTCCAGTTCCTACCTGCCGGCAAGTTAGCTATATCCGGTGAGTCG